TGTTCTAAAGTTTGAGTTTGTTGTCTAAAAGACTAATTGTGAGCGAGAGAGGTGGTTATCTTAAGGTAAGTTTCGAAGATTATACCTTGGACTCGAATGAAGATGTACAATATAGATCGAGAGTGTTAAGTGACAAGTGGGGAGGTAACAAACGTCTTTGCCAAGTGAGTAGGCACCGAGCCATGTATTTTATTTTTCTCTTCTTAATTCTATTTAATTTATTTTGTATTTATTTTATAACCTTGCAATGCTATAAATTGAAAGGTTCACTACGATAGTATGTTACATAAATACTTCGAAATTTTTACGTTTGACTCATGTTTATAAACTGTCTTTAAATATTTAAGTCACATTTTATGTTTAAATTTTGAGAAATCTACAAATAATATTCACCGATTCACTCATTTTTACATATTTAGAAAATGTGATTAAGCCCTATTTTTTGGTTAATAATGAATTTTGTAATACTGACTTTTGAATAATATGAGGTTAAATAATATGAAAAATTTAAATTTATGTACAAAAATTTTTATTGTGAGAATGTATGGTTGAAAATGAGTTTTAGAAAAAATTATTTTTAAGATAATGGGGATCATACAAGGGCTTATAATTAACGTGTCTTTCCCAAAAACATGTCTTGCAAACTAGGGTGAACGTGATTTGATTTGGGTGACTTGTGTCATATTTTCAACATAAACTATTTTACGCGGTTTGAAATTTTTCCAAACCATTTTATTTTTGTAAACAGACCAAACAATGATTTACGGTTTAGTTCGATTTTAATCAACGATTTACCTATCGATTGCATGTTTTCTCCACCCAAATTATTCTTCACAATTATAGATTGCATGTTTTCCCACCCCACGAACAATTATTGTAATGCCCTAAAATCTTTTTCATCTTCATTATTTTATTCTTTTATAAAAATAGGTTCAAGGTGTTCCAAAATCTTTTTCATTTAATTTAATCGAAAATATCACTTTTATTAAGTGTTGAAATTTGAAAATATGATCGATAATTTATAACGATAAAATAATAATTTAAGTAAAATTTTCATATTAAATATAATTCTTGGAATACTCCATTCCAAACCATTAATTTAATATTTAACATAAGATGTCGAATGCAGGAGCTCTAAAAATTATTAAATAACTTGCATTAACATAAAGATATATTAAAATAAAAGTTGACAATTATATTTTTTGAAAACTTTACTTGGTGACCCCATAAATATCACTCGATCAATCTTCCACGCGTCTACATGACTCGTTCTCGTCTAAAAAGTTATTGTAAGAGTGAATATTTTGAAAAACACTCAATAAGTATACGTGCACATTCTTATTAACATGATATAAATATAAAATGATATAACATATCAATATTTCTTAGATTTGGAGCACCTGAGCACGGCATTCAATAGCTCAAGGAATTTCATAAGAATCCCTATATCCCGTTGGATTTAACATAAATAACCCGAAAGTCCATCCCATAGGATTTAACATACTTGACCGATCGATCTATCCCGAAGAATTAAACAGAAAAATCGACCTGAAGGCCATATAGTATTTCATTTTATACATAAAGAATTCTCACCTCAATGACGCCAAAATCAAATTTGAAAATAATGGCTTGTAGAATAGAAAAATAAATTATTTCTAGAGCCTGTTTGAGAGTGATTTTGAGAATTGATTTTTTGACCGTTAGGAAAAAAGTAAGATCCACATGTGAGAGAAGAAATCAAATATGACGGCTGAAATAGTGAAATAACGGTCAAAACATTAATTTTTTGGGTGAAAAAATCGGACCCAAACAGGCCCCTAATAGATTGTCTGTATGTGAATTAACAGGGAGCGCACGTTTTTTTTTCTAGAAATTACAATCTAGTATATAATTTGGCAGGTAACCTCAGTCACCAAACATCATATCAGTTTCAACCTTTAAATTCCAAACGTAATTAGAACATTGATGAGATTAATTAAATTAATTGTTATTAAATTTAATAGACTAGTTACGTTTAAGTTATTATAATATTCTTTTCAATTTCAACGTAATTGTAAGAATTGAATGAAAGTTTTGATTTATTATTTATATTTTGTTTATTAATAAAATATAAAATCTAGAATACTTTCTTTATATCAAAATAACTTGGGTATAAATAAATTAAAATTTTTATTATTGAGCCCAATATATGCTATTTAACACGAGCAACAAAATCATTATAATATCGATACATTTTAATCAACTTTTAAAATACTTAATTATTTGACCCAATTAATTTACGATAAAATTCTAAAAACACATGTAAACAAAATAAATCATTTATGCAAATGAGCGAATCATGTGTATCACTTCAATTTTTGGACTTTAGTGTGACGACAAGACTGATATGGATTATTTCATTTGTAAAATAACCAATATTAAATTTAGGCCCCATATAAAAAAAAGTAAGAAAAATTCGGGGGTTACAACCACACTCTGGACAAAGCACCAAAGGCATTAAAAAAGAAAAAAATTAGAAGAGAAAAAAATTCTAAAAATTGTTAAAAAATTGTGGTGCCAAATTTAACTATGTGAAGGTCATGACTCGTGATTATATTTATTTTTGTTCAACAAGTTATCACATTACAAATGACACATGGGATGCAGTAATTATTCTATTTTATTGGGTAAAATATATAGCAGATATCACAAAAATTGAATGATTAGCATTGTTTCACAAAATAGAATAGGTAGATGGAAAAAATAATTGTAAAGATGAAATTCAATTGCCTAGAAAACGAATTTCAAAGAATTAAATTGCCTAAAATTATTTTCCCGAGAATTGTAAATTATTGTGTTTGATTGATATAATTTTTCACGTGAAAAATGTTGAAATAAAAGTGTTTTTGTGTTCGTTTGGTTTTGTTTTACATGAAAATTATCAATTAAAATGATAGATTTTACTGGTATTGAGGATGAAATTTGTTTCCATTGCCAACACAAAAAAATAAAAATTTTAAGAAAATCATCTATCTTTTGGTATTCGTTTGACTTTGTTTTACATAAAAATTGTCATTTAAAGGGAAATATTTTTTTACAATAATTCTTAAAATTTGTTTCTATTGCCAAAAAAAAAAAGGAAAAAAAATGCTAAAATAGATAAGAAAAACAATTTCCCACCATATATGGTGGGAATTGGTTTTCCCTAAAAACCAAGAAAAATCCAAACTTCTAGAGAACCAAGAATTCGAATTCCATGGAAAAAAATGTATCAAACACCTAAAGTTGAAAAATTCAATTCCAATTCCAATTCTAATTCCACCCTGTCAAACACACCCTTACTTCAGTAGTCAAAAGAGAATCTAGGTTGTAATCAATTATTGGGTTAACAGCAGCAAGTTTCAAAGATAAAAATTGAACTATTTGAAATGGTTTGATTCGATTTTGTGTGATTTTTAAAAATTGAAATTTAAACTAAATAATTTCAAAATGATTTAATTCGTTTCGAGGGAAAAAATTATGAGTCACGTGGATTCAAACCAACGGCATGATTTGATTTGTGATTCTCGCAATTTCAAGTGCAACCCTATTGCAAACTTCTTCAGCTCGATGTATCAATATTTTGTGTTCTGAAAATCAAGGACATAATAAAGGGCATTTTCGTCATTAATCACCGCAATCGACCAAATTCTGCCTGGGTTTTCCTTCCAAGTGAACCATCTTTCTCTCTTCTATGCTCCCTGAGAAACCAACTGAAACCCTAGAAATTTACAGTGATTCAATTCGATTAAGTTCGGCTCACACCACGAAATGGGTCGACCCGAACCCTGCGTGCTCTTTGCTCAGACATTTGTTCACCCGAACCTCATGGAATACGTCGACGAGGTATTTACTTAATTTTTAATTCATGTTAGCATGATTTTTTTTGTCTTTTAGAATTGAAGATTAATTTGAATTTTTGAATTGACGCGGCTAAATTTCTAAGTTTTTTCTTTCTGGCCTTTTCCTGAGAGTTGAAATGTTGGACCGTTTATGCATTTTCTGGGAATTACTCAATCGTGTTTTGAGCTTTTTTTGGGCACCATCAAGAGTGATACTACCCAAAAAAATGTAGCCACTACTACAAAAGAACAAATTCTTATTTATAAGTTTCATGTAAATGAGTATTTCTAAAATGATTAACATTTGGTATTGATCAAGTTCGAAAAGAACTTTTTTATTTGTACACTGAATTTTGACAATTTGGTTGACACTTACATTGTTGTCAGTTGTGAATTGGATGGAAAAACTGTTTGAAATTTAAACTGTTCAACAGGATAATGCCATGTAGTAAAGTTTAAATTAAAGTATGCATCATAGTTGTACATGTAACAAGGTTCATTGAAAACAGGGAAAGTTATTTTGAGGGTGGAAGTTATTTTTGAAACAATCGACTTTTTTTACTTTAGGAAAAAGTAACTTATCCAAACATGTTTGCAAACACGAAGTTACCTAAAAATAACATTTCATTATTTAAAATCTTAGCCAAGCATATAAGATTTGAGTTTTGTTTTACTGTAAGTGTAAAAAACAGAATTGAATTGAGAGAGAATAGATACAGGGGAGAAATGGAGAGAATTTCTGTGGTGCTTTCATTCTCAATTAGATAAGGAAAAATGCTGTACAAGTCCAGTATATATAGAATACAAAGGGAATCAAATATAAGAGAAAAAAAATCTAACAGTTTCTAGCTAGAAAGGGAATATACAGCTGCATTTTAACAAACTTCTGTAACAGATAGTATATCCCTTCTATCCTGGTTCTAGAATATCCTTGTCATTCTTTTCTGGAACCTTCTTGACCTGCTGAGCTATTGTAGGCTGCTGCCTGTAATAATCCTTTTCTTCAATCTTCAACAGCCCCCCTCAAGATGGAGAGTATATGTCTTCTACTCCCATCTTGGACAAACATGAATAAAAGCTTTGTGAGCCTAAGCTCTTTGTGAGAATGTCTGCCACCTGCAGTTTGCTTGTCATATGTTCTGTTGAAATGCAACCTTCTTGAATCTTGTCTCTAATTAAATGACAATCTATCTCTATATGCTTTGTCCTCTCATGGAACGCGGGATTGGTGGCAATATGTATAGCTGATTTGTTGTCACAGTACAAAGATGCAGCCTGTGGATGAGCAATCTGTAAATCTCTGAGTAAATACTTCAGCCAAGTCAATTCACAATTGACATCCGCCATTGCCCGATATTCTGCCTCTGCACAGGATCTAGAGACCAAACTTTGTTTCTTTGACTTCCAAGACACCAATGATTTCCCAAGAAACACGCAGTAGCCTGTCACAGACTTCCTAGTGTCTGGACAAGCCCCCCAATCTGAATCACTAAAGCCTTTTAGTTGGATCTTAGAGTCTGCCGAATAGAACAAACCTTGCCCTGGTGACCTTTTGATGTACCGTAGTACTTTGTGAGCTACCTGCAGATGTGGCACTCTTGGATTCTCCATGAACTGACTTAGCATTTGGACTGAATAAGCTAAATCGGGTCTGGTTATGGTAAGGTACGATAATCTACCGATCAACCTTCTGTAAACAGCAAGCTTAGGAAGTAACTCTCCTTCTTCTTTGGACATTTTCACATTTTGATCTAAAGGGATCTTTGCAGAAGTAGAGCTAATAGTACCCGAGTCTCTTAAAATATCCAAAGCATATTTGCGTTGGCATAGATAAATCCCCTTTGCTGCCCTGGCCACTTCAATACCCAGAAAATACTTCAGCTTACCAAGGTCTTTGATTTTGAATTGAGCATCAAGGGACCTATTCAATTGATCAATTGTATTCATGTCATTTCCAGTTATTATATCGTCCACATATACTATAATAGCTGTGAAAGAATCATCCGTGACCTTTGTGAATAAGTTGTAGTCTGCCCTGGACTGAATATATCCTTGGTGAATAATGAAATTTGATAGCTTCGAGTACCATTGGCGGTGAGGCCTGTTTGAGACCATACAAACTTTTGTTCAATTTGCATACCTTTCTCCCACTTTTATTAGGATACCTCGGGGGCAACTCCATGTACACCTCCTCCTCTAAATTCCCATGCAAGAAGGCATTATTGACATCAAACTCTTGTAAAAACTACCCTTTTACTGTTGCAATGGCCAACAAGGTTCTTACAGTAACCATTTTTGTCACGAGAGAAAATGTTTCATGATAATCCAACCCTTCCTGCTGTGTACCTCTTAGCAACAAGCCTGGCCTTGTATCTTTCTATACTACCATCAGCCAGAAATTTGATTTTGTAAACCCATTTACAGCCAATTGGTTCTTTGTCAGGAGGTAAATCCACAATAACCCAAGTATCATTGAGTTCGAGAGCAGTAATTTCAGCTTTCATGGCATTACCCACTCGGGTGATGTACTGGCTTCTAAGTAAGTTTTAGGTTTGGTGTGTGAGGTCTTGGAGGTCACAAAAGCCTTGTGTGTTGTAGACAACTTATCATAAGATATGCTAGCACTCAAGAGGAAAAGGATTACCTGATAAATTCTGGACTTTTTGCTTGTCCAAGTTCTGAGATGGAAGAACTGAAGTTGACTGCTGACATATGAAATCTTGCAAACGAGTAGGGGCTCTCCTTATTCTGGTTGATCTTCGGGGTAAGTGTGTATGAATGTTGTTTTGAATTTCTGTTTCTGGTATGGAGTTATTTTGAGAATTCATTAGTTCGTTGTTTTGGGAATCTGGTAATGCAGTAGGGATTGGCTCAGCTTCTGAAGTGGTATTGGGGTCGACAATGTCTCTAGAATAATCATGAACAGGTAAATTGGGAATGAAAATGACAGAATTTTGAGTAAAGCTCAATTGATCTGGACTTGGTAGTGGATTAATGTTGTTGATATTAGTACCATGATGGCTGATTTTGTCCATTTTGAATGGAAAGACAGTTTCATAAAACACAACATTTCGAGAAGTGAAAATCATTCCGGTATCAAGGTCCAAAATTCTATATCCTTTGACACCAAAAGGATAACCAATAAATACAGATTTTCTAGCCCTAGGATCAAATTTATGTCTTCCATTGACTAAAGTGGTAGCAAATGCCAAGCACCCAAAAACTTTTAAATGTGCATGACTGAGTTTCTTTTTGAACAAATTCTCAAAAGAACTTTTATGATTTAACAATGGAGATGGAGTTCTATTGATGAGATATACAGCCGTGAGAATGCAATGGTTCCAATACTTCAATGGAATGTTACTTTGAAATTTTAGTGCTCTTGCGACATTTAAAATATGTTGATGCTTCCTTTTAATAGTAGCATTTTGTTGAGGTGTCTCCACACACGTTCTTTGGTGCAAAATCCCATGTTTTAGATAAAAATCTTTCATATCAAACTCTTCTCCATTGTCAGTCCGAATGGTTTTTACTTTTGTTTCAAATTGAGTTTCTATCATAGCACAAAAGTTTCATAAATTGGTGTTGGCTTCTGATTTTATTTCAGCATATAAGTCCAAGTACACCTACTGAAATCATCCACAATAGTCAAAAAATATTTGCAACCATCATGACTAATTTCATTACACGAACCCCATATATCACAATGTATCAGTTCAAAACATTTATTGGATTGATGTTGACTAGTAGGGAATGGCAGCTTGTGTTGTTTAGCTAAAGACAAATGTGACAGGGATGACTATCAGAGGGTTTTAATATGCTGACATTGGTATCTATGTCAAATTTAGAGTAAGAAGAATGGCCTAATCTATAATGCCAGAGGTCAAAAGACTCACTATTATTGCTGACAGAGGCTGAAAGACTGGTTTTGAGGTTGTATTTGGATAAAGCATTAGATAGAGCTGAAGGAGAGACTTCTCTCTGCAGCATATGATAGAGTCCTTGCTTCACTTCCCCCATGTCAGTTGTTGTCCAAGTCAAAAGGTCCTGAATATAGCAGCAATCAAAGAAGAAAACAAGGCAACAATTTAGTTCTTAAGTCATTTTCTTTGCTGAAATCAGATTAAAGGAGAAATTGGGAACACAAAGAGCGTCACACAGTATAAGAGTCTTGGTGACTTTGGCTGTTCCTTCATAGGTAACAGGAACTATCTCGCCATTTGGTAATGCTACAGAAGAAGAAACAGTAGATTGGATGGAATGAAAAAAGAACTTGGAGCAAATCATATGATCTATTGCTCCAGTGTCTAGAATCCAAGGAATTTTTGAAATGTTACTGGATTTGGAATTAAAAGCAGAGTGACATAGTGATATACCAGAAACTTTGTGACTATTTACATTTGAGGAAGAAAGTGTAACGATGGTATGAACGTGATTGGCCGAGGGAATGAAGGCTTGGTTACTGGAGGTTGGCTTCAAGAGAGCCAGAAGCTGAGTGTACTGCTCCTGATTCAGTGACACTTGAGGCTTGTCCTTCACAACATCCTGCTTAGAACCTACTGCTGCATTTGCTTGATTTATGACAGGTCTGTTCTTCCGATCTCCCTTGTATCCTGCCTGCTGGGTATCCATGCAGTTTGTAGCATTTTTCAGCTACATGGCCCGGCATTTGGCAATGAGTACATATGGGCTTGTTTGGGTTTGTTTTGAAACATCTCTCCAGAGTGTCCTGAAATTTTACAGAAGGCACAATAATACCTATCCCTCCTTTGTTGCCCAGTAAATTGCTTGCTAAAATTCCCTTTGCTCTCCATAGCCATAGAATTACTGCCTCCAATATAATAAGGACTAGTGGGCTGTGTTGGATCATGAGCAACAGCTCCTGACCGATTGGGATTGGCTTTTGGTGGTGGATTTGGGGGAGTGTTTTGACTGGTATTGATGGATTCTTCCATCATGGCTCTGATACCATATAAGATTTGAGTTTTGTTTTACTGTAAGTGTAAAAAACATAATTGAATTGAGAGAGAATAGATACAGGGGAGAAATGGAGAGAATTTCTGTGGTGCTTTCATTCTCAATTTGATAAGGAAAAATGTTGTGCAAGTCCAGTATATATAGAATACAGAGGGAATCAAATATAAGAGAAAAAATCTATTGGTTTCTAACGAGAAAGGGAATATACAGCTGCATTTTAACAAACTTCAGTAACAGATAGCATATCCCTTCTATCCTGGTTCTAGAATATCCTTGTCATTCTTTTCTGGAACCTTCTTGACCTGCTGAGCTATTGTAGGCTGCTGCCTATAATAATCCTTTTCTTCAATCTTCAACAAAGCATGCCCAAAGCTAGTTAGTTTTGTAACCGCGCTTACAAAAAAATTGGCAGCTGAAGTTTTATGAATTATTTCTCATATAAATTTTACTCTAGGTCAAAGATGTTTAATTTCAAGAGTAGTAACAATTGAACTACATAGTATTATCATATTATTATTATTCCATATAACTGATTATATTATTGTTATTCAATATATCTGACACAATTTTGTCTGTACACGGCATTGTGAAAACATGGTATGGATTCAGGAGGGGATAATTGGACTGGCTTTAGATTTTTAGTAATTCTTTATGTTAGACCATTTTACATCTACTAGACAAAAGTTTAATATGTCATGGACAAATTTTTAGCAAATTTTGAAATATAAATGATTAGAATGCCTGGTGTGCATTGTCAATCGTCTTTTGCAGTAAGAGAAGTAAACACAGGACTACATATTTCAATGGAATCAACCTATTTTAAAAGCTTCCTTTGGCAGTGTGGGAGGTTTGGTTGTTGTAACGCAATCAGGAGTTTATTATAAAAAATGAAATGGTAAAATGTTTAGATTGGTTGAAATAACTAAATACTTTAGGTACAGCATGGAGCAGGATTATTTATTTATTTATTTATTTTTCTTTTTATTTTGTAAATTTAGCAATTATCATGGTGGTCCTATTTTAGTTGTGCAAAAGTTAGACTTTTAGGGTTTGAGATAAAATTTTAAGTTGCTCAATAGTGGGAGGAAATCTCAGGTATGCACAATATTTACCATAATACGGTAAAAATGTTGCATCCTTAAGACAATTTGTTACGGAATACTTCTATTGCATTTTGTCCTTTAGGACTGAGTGATAACTTCAGGTAACATTGAGCCTTGCTTGTCTCTTTTCCACCACTTTCTTCTTTAGCTCAACCTTTGTCAGTATTCTTGATTGGGATATTGGACTCGCTGAACTTGCCCCATCTAGAAATAAGTTGACACACTTCATATTTTTATTAGTTGGAAATATCAAAATCAACAATACGATATATCTTTCCAGCAGATAATTAAAGAGAATGGAATACCCTTGATCTTTACTGAAGCATTCTAAGAACTTAGCTCCATCTCATATACAAAAAACTTCTCGCTCATATCCCTAAAGGATTCTATATTTCTATTTTTTCGTCTACCAAGGTCACCTCAAATGGTAGCAAAAACCATCACTTTCGACATAAAAACACCCACTATTGCCCTTTCCAATGCCAATTTCTTTTCAAGGAGTAATCCATTACACCTTTTTTGGACAACTCAATTAAAACCAGCATCTTTAGAAGTTTATGCTATGGCATTCTGTGGAATCACAATACAAAAAACAAATGATCAATACATTATAAATCCTTACTACAACTTTGTACACATGAAGTGGATAGATGGATCAACAAATATTTGTTTTGAATCAATCATGTATATAAGAGCATGTTTGGGGGAGCTTATATTAATATGATGCTAGAAAAAAATAATTAATTTTTTAGTTTAAAATCTCAGTCAGATTAGGAATTGTTTGTTTGGACTGTTCGCAAAGTGTTTCGCTTAGGTTACCAACTAGGATTGGAATTGTTTCTCCTGGCTATTAGAGATTTCCATGTTATGGTTTTCAATTTTGAATTTTTCCTCTGTGATTAAGGATTTCTTAGTTGCAGTAGGCTTTGGGCTGCTTCTATTTATTTAAGCTTTCCTATTAGAATGGTTTTGGAGCCCTTAAAGTTGGTAGGGCCTATGAAAAGGCAACAATGTTCCAGCATTAGTTATCCAGTTTCACCATCAAACTTTGAAACTGGCCCGTCAACATTGTCTGCAATCATCACCACGTCATCTTTATTATCTAGGAGATAATACAAATAGAGATTTAAACATAAACAGGAATAATTTAAATAAGTGAATCAATTAGAACGAGGCCTTGAGTCAAACTCTAATAATCAAGTCTTCCTAGCACTTCTTGAGCTGCCCTAATCTCCATTTCCTATCATTCTTGGTTAACCCAATTCTCTTGTTCACCCTCATTTATGCTCACAGTCACAGGAACTGGCGGTTTGGCCAAAAGCTTAATTGCTTTCTTCCGCAGGTTTTGGGCATTTAACCAATTGTGTTCTTTTCCTCGTCTTTTCTGCTTTTGAATCTGTTTTCCCTGCCCAGCCTGTTGTGTCCATCAATTAAATCTGGCTTATTCTTCATTTGACATTTTATTGCTTCTTCAGTTATTTGCTTAACACTTAAACCAACTCTCTAAATAATGAAAATCAGCCCCTTTCAGGAAGTTCTGTAACCTGTTCATGTTTATGCACCAAAGTTATGCATGCGAACATGTAAATACTCACAAAACGATATTTTGCTTTTTGTTCCCCCCTTGAAATGCTTTGTACTTATATGAACTCATTACGGCTTTTTTAGTGATATATCTTGTTAGCTGTTGTAACCTTTCCTACTATGTTTGCCCTCCAGGTGTTATTTACAGAGCCTGTAGTCATCACTGCTTGTGAGTTTCTCGAGCAAAATGCTTCGTCAGCTTGTTCTGCAGTGAAACTTATGGGGTATGGTGGCTATTTATCTCTCTGCATTTTCCGTGGAATTTATGTCTGACCTAATGATCTATAATACCTCTGATATCATGTCTTGAAGGAAGGGATCGTATGATTTATGTACAGTTTCTTTAATTTTCTCCTGGATTTGGAATTTACTTTGGGGGGACACATCGCCTCCCTCATTTAATGTTTGAATAATCTACAGGGCCACTTCACCTCCCTCATTTGCATTGGAGGTTTTTGTTCACTGTGAAGGGGAAGCAAGGTTTAGGCGGTTATGTCAGCCCTGTCTGTATTCTCATTCATCATCAAATGTACTTGAATTAGAGGTATACTCTAAAGTTTAAAGTTACTGATTTTTCATTTTTAAGAATTCTGTTTTAGTTGTTCACGTTTTTGATACCTCTGTGATATGGTTATAGCTGCACAGCGTGAGAGCTTTTCATTGATATGGGTTTGATGGGTCCTTATACTTCGTACAGATTATGGTTCTATGGAAATTATTTTGCTTAACTTGTGCGTAAGGTTCCAAAAAATTGGTGGTGTTCTATTAAAAGAAATAAAACAAATCAAAAAAGTATACAACTTCATAGAATTGAGGTCATTCCAAGTGTTTTGTGCAATTTGATAGCCAAAGAGCAAGACAAACAATTAGGATTGATTCCAGCATGATATAAAAAGATTTTCAGACATAAATGAGATCTGTCTGGTCGCTATGGACATACTTAGCAAGTTTAATTTTTTGATGGTTGGGGCTTATGAGAACAGGTTTATTGGAATAAAGACTTAAGTATTTATATGCCTATAAGACTCCAACTAGGATGAGGAATATATCTTGAAATAGCGAACTCCTGATTACCTACTTCTAAGATCAATCCTAGATTAGAAAGGACTTCAGATGAAATCAAATAATAAAATTAACAACCATGGACCAAATTATAGGAAATTAGGAAGTTATGGAAATACTTGTAAGTATCTGAAGAGATCAAGTAAAGCGATTCTAGTCAATCATCCATCTTAAAAGACTAGCCAACAAGGACATTTTCCTTTTAGACATTACATCAAAGTAAAACTCACTTACCACATACCTCTGGAAGCTTATATGGCATCCATAAGGACAAAAAGACTGAAATAGAGCTAACACAAAATATTCATAGAATTATAAAGCAAATTACTGAAACAAAGTAAGTTGAACTGTAGAAGTCCTAGTACATCATTAATAGCTAGAAATATCCAAGGATCAGTCTTTCGGTGGCAATGCCAAACAAATTATTGGGCCTGGATGTAAGGCATTTCCTTCTTTTGTATATCATTGACCTCTTTTAGTTAGCCTACACATGCATGTTGCTTATGTAAAAATTTGCTCATTTTGTGATTCTGCATTTTTTAATTACTCTTCACTTTGTTATCCCTTCGCAGTCTGTGGTGACAAACCATCTGGTCATAAGGGGCAGCTATCGCAGCTTAAGTATGGTCATATACGGGAACACAGCTGAAGATTTGGGCCAATTCAACATAGAAGTTGACCTGGATGGCACATTGACAGATAATGTCAGTGCTATTGAGGGAAAACTTGAGGACCTTCCTCCTGCATTTCGTCCCATGAAACCAACAATTGAGGAACTTGTATTTCCCCTGAAAATATTGTCCCAATCAGTCATTGCGTTGGATATACCTCTTGAAATAAAGAAATTTTTATATCTAGCTTTTCAGACTTTGGAGTCTCCTGACCTTGGGGCGGTTGCTGATAAAGTTCTTAGTTCCATGTTATCTGTGGCCTCGATTTATGCAACTCCTTACCTGTCTCATGAGACCATTAATCAGAAGAAATTTGGTATAGATATACTGAAAAGTAACGGCGAGGCTCATCAAGTTCTTACTGAAGCTCGGAAGGAACTTTCCGACATTTTTAAAGGCCTTCGAGATCAATCTGAAGGTTCAGATAGCTTATGTTTTGAATACGAGGTTCCCACTTCCAAAGAGTTGGTGGACACTTTATACAAGCACTTTGATTTTTGTGGCAACTATGGAAATTTTGGATATCCCCAACTTTCACGGGTAACAAGATTTTTTCCCTTTTGTATTTTTGTGGCATCTGTTTGCATTTTATAGCAGATCTCACACACAGGTGAAACCAATTCCCTCGTATCTTTATTATTTCTCATACAGATGTCACAATATTTGAAATGTGGAAGTATTGATTTTTTATTTCTTATTATTATCATTATCATTTATTTTATTTTTTTATTTTTTTTTTCAGAATAAGAACACCATAATGTTGTTGAGTATGGCTCTTTTGCTGTGCTCTGCTAAGGAGAGCTGCTTTCACTTTGTTAATTTTGGTGGTATGAAGCAGCTTGGATATGCTTTCACCCAGATGACTCGGAATTCTACTACTATTACAATCTTGTTGCTTGGAGTTATTGAGCAGGCTACTCGGCATTCAATTGGCTGTGAAGGGTTCCTAGGATGGTGGCCTCGTGCAGATGAAAGCATCCCTTCTGGTATTAGTGATGGTTATAATCAGTTGTTGAGGTTGTTGTTGCAGAATCAGAAGCATGATATTGCTTCACTTGCAACTTATATACTTCATCGTTTGCGTTTTTATGAAGTTGCTTGCAGATATGAGGTACATGCTTCACTTTTCCACTATCAAGTGGCTGG